AGGCCCGGCTGGCTGCAGAGCCACCCCCCTCCCTCCGCACCCACCGACTCTACAGCATCCCCCATCCTCCGCCACCACCCCGGGTCCCAGCCCGATGCCCCCGGCCCCGCTCCGTCCCGGGAGCTTTGGCCCCGGCACCCCCGGGAGAGGGGGGGAGGGAAGGGGGGGTATTGTCGGCTCTGCCAAAATGCACAGCCACGCCTGGAGGCGAGAGCCCCCGGCTTTTGTGGAGGGGGCTTGTTCCTTTGCATGTGAATGGGGGAGTTTGGTAAATCCCTGGGCCTCGGAGGAGGAGGAGGAGGAGGAGGGAGGAAAGGCGAGGAGAGGGGGGGGTCGCTCCCAGCTCGGGGTTAATGAAGTGGGAAAGGAGTCTTTCAGAGAGGCCTGCAAACAACCCCCCTCTCGCCGGGCAACAAACCCCCCGTCCCAAATCCTACATGGATTGACTTAAACCCAGGGGATAAGTGCTTTAAATTAATCTCATTGAATAAGAATGAGGCCAAACAAAACTCTTTAAAATCATATTAAAAATCTATCAAAGGACAACTTGCAGTGGGTGTGCTTTTCATTTTGTGAGCGCAAAGGCAAGGAGCATACAGCAACCTTCCTTCCATTTACACAGCAGGAATGTGAATCAAAGACATTCTCTAATATTTAATTGTCCTTGTAGCCGTAGCAGATTCCTCCTCTTACATTAATGAAGTACAAGGCTTCGTTACACGTTTGTAATTGCAATATTTAAATTTGCCATTTCACATCTGGAAGAAGCTGGAAACTCTGCTTGGAACAGCGGGTCTGAGCCAGCGCCGAGAGGCAGCGACGGGGTCGGGTTTGTGCTACGAGGACGGGCAGGAGAGAGAGGGGCAGAGCCCTGAGGAAACCTCTGCTCTGGGAAGGGGAACTGGCCATACTGGGTCTGACTGGGAAGGAAAGAGCAGAGGGGAAGCGAGGGCTGGAGCCGTCTCCTCCAGGGAGATCTCAAGCTTCAAAATAAATCAGTTTAGAGAAGACACCACGCGCTGTGGGCTCACATGGGAGCGCAGTGTGCTTGCCACACAAACCACATCTTGTGCAGGAGGATCTCAGCAGCCTCAAAAGCTGCTGAAGGACCGGCCTCACCTCCAGCTTGTGTGTGGGGACTGAGACAGGGCCCCGCTGCCCAACAGCAGAGCCCACCAGCACTAGTTCTGCACCTACAGCAGACCCAGACCAGGCTGGAAACTACTCATTTCCAGAGGCTGGTACCAGGTGGGCATGATCCTGGCAAGTCCTCAGGGCTGGGACAAGCTGTGCTGGGTTGAAATTCGATGAAGCAGTAAAAATGGTGCAGTTGAGAAGGAGCACCAGTCCCATTAAGGAAACCTTTAGGGTATTGCACCAGTTCTGCTCCACTGACTTCTCCCAGGGCACAGAGACTCCAACAGACAGGCTGCTGGTGGTTGGTTTCTACCAGATCCAAGCTCTGGATCCAAAACACAAACCAGTTAGTGCCGTGGGTTTGCCAGGACCAAGCACAGTCCTGGCTCTGAAGCACCTTCTGGGCTTTCACCCAGCTTGAGAGCCATCTTCCCCCCCCTCCCGACACAGCTTTAACCGGGACCACCACCCTGGGAACAGACAAAGAACAAAAGCTGCTCCTCTGAACATGCCAGCACACCCCAATGCAGTGAAAGCAGCAGAACTGTTTCTAGCTGAGATATTTTTATGGTTTCATCTCAACACCAAAAATTATGCCAGAATGGAAAGCCCAGAACAATTGGTGCTTTTCCTGTCTTCGCCCCAGGCTTACGGGGAAAATAAGTTGTCATAAACAGGGAAGTTCTGGTGCTTTCTACCCTGCTTAGTTATTGGGTGCTTCTCAATGGTGGCTGCCAGCGCCTTGTGTTTGACCTTGACACTGAAAGCAGGGGTTCAACTGTGACCCTTGTACCAAGGTGACCTCGCTTTTTCTTATCCCAAAGCCTCAAAGTGTAAATTCAAGGTGTTCCAGCCGCAGAGCAGAGGAGGACATGGGCTCCTGTCACCACCATAGGACACAGAGACAGAAGAGAGCTGAGAAAAGGCACAAGAGCATCTCTGGGGAGAGGCAGGACCCCAGGTGTGAGCGCTGGGAGCCAAGGAGCAGCAAGGAAGGTGAAACCAAACTGACTCCAGGTCTGACTGGCAGGAAGCTTTACATAAAAACTCCAGAGTGACATTATTTTCAGTCCAAATGCAGTCACCTCAAGCTGCAGGGCAACCAGGCCCCTACCATTCACCACAATTAAGATAAGGAAACAAACCTCACCAAAGCCAACGCTGCTGCAGTCAAACCAAGCTGCGGTTTCACCGAATGCTGCCAAGAGCCAGTCTCCTCACAGTCACTGCAGAGGCAGCTCCCACCCAGCCAAGTCCCCTGCACTGCACACCACCTACCTCAGAGCAAGAGGGGACAAACTCAAGAGCAGCTCAGGATGATGTCCACCTGCTCCACGCCAGGGCTGAGCCAAGGACACCCACTGTGACCCCCAGCAGCTCCTCCAGCATTTGGGTGCTCAGAGAACCCGGGAGCCTCAGCATCCCTGCTCCATGGCAGGCACCACACCCTGCCCTGATGAAGACATGCTTGAAGTCAAGCACCAATTCACCCCAAACCTACCAGGTTCTTCCTGAATGGAGTGAGGCACCAGGATAAAGCCAGCTCAGAGCTGATCCGGAGCTGCCGAAGGGTAAAAAAGGGCAGAATTTGGTTCCTGCTGACCCAGCTGCAACTCATTCCACACATTGGCCTTTGATTGCATGAAGAGCAAACTTGGCTCAAGCTTCAGGTGTGCGTGCCTTTCTTTTAACAATCTCCTTTTCTCTAATCACCCAAGTCACCCAGAGCTATCTGTTAAAAGATGGTGAAGCTAAAAGAAAAAGGCATTCTAGCTTTTTTTTTTTAAAAAAAATGTCATATTATTCACCATAACTGTTTGCAACGCTGTTCTAGCTTTCTTTTTCTTTCCAAAAAAATTATCATATTATTCACCATAACTGTTTGCAACGCTACATGCCCAGTTAATACAGAGGGCAATGAGATTTCCCAGCATCTCTCACTGATGTGCTGTTGGCCTTTATTCCTATTATTATGAATTTGCCAATAGCCCCTATTAATTCATACGTGACAGTCAGCCAGGAAAAGGTCATGTATTTTCCCCTCCTGCACAAGATCAGTTCTTCCCAAACTTACACTCTCTGCATCACTCCCTCTGAGTCATTTTCATCCTCAGGGGTTTCTTTTCTGCTTAAGTTGACATTTGCCTTAAACCCGATTGCTCTTCCAAACAGTAATCATAACAAAATCAGGTGGGCTTTGTTGTTATTTTATCTTAATCTAATAAAGACTCTTACCTTCATTCTCTCTGCAAAAACATGGTTAATTTTACACTGGAGCCTTTTTAATATCTTTTTAAGGGTTCAAAAAAAGTATTGCAGTAAAATCAGCATGTTTGGTAATTGCCTGGGAGGGAAAAAAAAATGATTTTGGT